ATCAACAGGGCAGCTTGACCAGAAGAGATGACTTTTAAACATACAACCACCCTGGCTCTCTGTTTCCAGCTATAAAACAGCACTCAAGTTTTATTCATGCTTGGTAAATTTTCCAAGCTGACATTAGATACAGACCACTTTCCCAGAGAACATCACACTGAAGTAAGGGTGAACAGTTATGATTTAACCTAAGTATTAGAATTGGGGAGTTCCATTTAATGTTTCTTCCCCACTCCACCCCAGCAAAAGCTGAATTCTAAAAAAAAAAAAAAAACCCTCTCCCCCCAAGGTAAGGAAATGTATTTTTTCCATTTCTTAGATACGAATTTGTCCTGTCAAACTTTATGGTAGTTGTAAAACCAGAAGCCATTATTACCCTTAAAAGATATTTACATAAAGTACTTTATGAATCTGAGTACCTAGCCTATCATTGGTTGTTGTTGGGTGCCATTGAGTCGGCACCGACTCACAGCGACCTTATGCACAACAGAATTAAACACTGCCCGATCCTGGGTCAACCTCATAATTTTTGCCATGCTTGAGCCCATTGATGCTGCCACTTTGCCAATCCATCTCGCTGGGGGTCTTCCTTTTTTTCTCTGCCCCTCCACCTTACCAAACGTGATATCCTTCTCCAGCTACCTATCCCTCCTGACAATATGCCCAAAGTACAAGAGACGAAGTTTGGCCATCCTGGCCTCCAACACTCTAGCTGCACTTCTTCCAACACAGATCTGTTTGTTCAGTGCTAACTTTCAAAACATATCTTAAACAGAAAATGGGAGCTCAGATTTCATACAATCATTTGGAATAAAAATATTCTTAAATTGTAACTCTTCCCGTAATTTGTTAAACACAATGTATCACAATCTAACACCTGCTTGAATAGTGTTATTGGGATATTGAACTACTATGCAAAGCAGAATTCACCCTTTAGCAAATTCACTCAGAGACCATTTAAGAATGCGTATATAAACGTAGTCTAAAATAGATTTTGCATCTTTCCAACATATACTTAAAATGCAACTTTGATACTGGCATTATTAAATAAAAGCCCAAAGACTTTCAATTAGATAAGATTTAACAGTGTGGTGTTGACTGCAGTTTATCTGAACTGCAAGGTCAGCAGTTCAAACCCACCAGCCGCTCCTCGGAAACCCTACCACAGGGTCACTATGGGTCAGAACTGACTAGACAGCACTTGTTTGATGCCGTTTCCATTCTCTGGTATTGGCTACAAATACCACATGTGGGTGTTTAATCAACAGAAAGGAATTCTGTTTAGTAAGCTAGAATTTTGCATCGGCCTATGCCAGCTCTGGAGGCAGGCTAAATCTGCTCTGGGGAAAGGTCCTTGTCCCCTTTCAGCAGCTGCAGGCAGTGCATTCCTTGGTGATCTCCATGCATCTTGCAGCAGTCTCCCTGTGGATATAGGAACTTCATAGCTTCAAGGATCCCAGATCCAAAGGATGAACTCCACACTTCCAGTTCTTTCCTTAGTGGTAGTGGGTCCCTTCTCTCCTTTTATCTTTAACATGAAAGACCTGGCAGGCCACACCCCTGAGGAAATGTTAGCTGACTTGGCTGCTCACAGCAGATATCATCACCAAAGCGACATTGTATTAGTGAGACCTCCGTGTGGGGATGACTACATCTTCACTGCCAAACCACTGAACATCCTGACCGTCAAGAAGACCCCAAACCTTAACACTGCAGATGCCATTAAGTCCATTTTTGACTTGCACCCCCCCACGCGAGAGTAGAATTGCCTCATACTGTTTTCCAGGCTGTAATCTTTACAAAAGGAGCTCTGGTAGCATAGCGATTACGAAGCAGGCTGCTAACCTCAGGGCCAGCAGTTCGAAACTACCAGCTGTTCCGCAGGAGAAAGATGAGACTTTCTGCTCCCGTAAAGATTTATAGCCTCAGAAACCTTGTACAAGGTCGTTATGAGTCAGAACCGACTCCACAGCACATAACCACCACCACCACCGTTATGAGGGAGTGCTGGCAGCGCTGTAGATCAGCATGGACAGCTAACCAGAAGGCTGTGGGCTCATACTAGCCACTCTTGGGGAGAAAGATGTTAGGATTGAGTCAACGACACTTAACAGTCTCACCTTGCTAAAGTTTACAGCCAAAGAAACCCTAACTAAGGGATGTTATGCGTCCAGACTTCATCTTTATGGGAATACACCACCGGGTTTTTCTTCCTCACAGCAGCTGGTGGGTTTGAACCAATCTTTTCATTAACTGAGCCTGTAACCATGGCACGACCTACGCATAGTAAAACTAGACGGTTCCTACACTGATGAGCTCTAACAGTCAACAAAGCACATTATTCTTTGGAAGGCTATAAATGTCTACTTCTCTATATCCAGAGATTAAACTTTAACAAAACGAATGGACTTTTAGAGTCCTGGTGTGGCGCTGTAGGATAAGCACTGGACTGTTAATTATAAAGTTGGAGGTATGAACACACAGCTGCTCTTCAGAAACCCTATGCAGGGTTGTTATTGCTCGGAACATACTCAACAGCATTTCACAAATGGCCTTTTAACATTTATACAGAACCTAAAAAACTATTATATTCCACATACCAAATTGTTTCACGGTCACCTGGAAAGAATAATTATGCAATGAATGACAATAAGAAAAGGCCACTGATCACATTATCCAGTCTTTACTGAAAAAGACTTAACTTCAACCGTGGCTTACAGCTTTGGCTTCAGTTGGTCCGTCAACTAGCCTCTCACTGCCAGCTACCATTAAAATTAAGTAGAAATGGCAAGGAAAATACTAGTAAAGAGAGAATCTTAATAGCAAAAAAGATGGTAGTCAGATACATCACCAGAATAAATCTCAAAATAATTATGAAACAAGAAAACACTTTCTTGCATGCCCAAGAATCTCTGCTGCTTTTTTAACGAACACAGAAAAGGCACGCTTCTTAGGCTTCAACTGAATCCACACAGCTCGGACTTCTCTTTGCTAGAGAAGTCTTGGCTCTATTATCTTGACAGCTGTATTTTAAAATGGTGCATTTAACTTGGTAAGTAAGTATTTTACACATTAAAAAAAAAAATTCAATATGAAATAACATCCATTAACTGAATTAATGATGCAATCTTGTTCTCTCAGAATGGACGAAGGACACTTCAGTCAGATGTTTACTATGACAATATGACCTTGAGTCTGGACACCCAGGAAACACTGCAGCTACAGCTATACTTAGATGTTATCTCAAGAAGCTACTTAATTTACTGGCAGACCAAAAAAGGCAAACTGAGAATTTAACAGGCTTTTAGCAGTACAAAAAAAGGTCTTTGAAGAGTCATTCAAGTTTCATATTTATTTCATGAAATTTTAAACTAAGAGGCCTAACTGATATCATTTCTTGTGCTCCTTATAAAATATAAAGTTAACTTCTTCAAAAACATTCCCAATGACACTAACCATGAACAAAAAGAAAGCAGGGTAAATTTTACGAGTATAATTGTGGCCAAAAGATGAAGACCTTGAGACCATGTGAATTTTTATGCTAAATACTTATTTTTAGTGGGGGATGAAGGAAAAGTGTTATCAAAACGACTGTGGTCATCAATTTACAAAAAAACATCTCCATCTTTAAAGCCAGTTGTCTCCAAGACTTGTGGGTACAAGTTGCATCTTACTACTTAACCAAGAGTTACTTTCTCATTTTGGTGCCCTGGCTTCCAAACATTTCCAGCTCACTGCTGAAGCAGCTGCACCCCCTAGTGACACGTTTCGTGTACATAAGGTGGTATCTATTTTACATTCCTGCTTTGATCAAAATTTGAGGCCATCATCCACATAGCCTGAAAAGTACCTCAGAAGCAACCCTTCATCTTCTACATCTTCCTGACTAGGTTGTTTACAAACTGCACACAGACAAACAACCTCTGTTCCGGCTTGTCATTCCACACACACTACCCAGAGAGAAAAAAACCATACATGTAAAGCTCACAATTCTGTACTATTGAATGGAATAACCAATTATAAATTGGTACACCGGCAATGAATTGTCTAAATAACAAGTTGTAGCAATTTGTTAAAAAAATTATTGGGCAAAATAGATCTTAATTTTTACAAACACCCCAGGATTTTTAAAAAAACATCTAATAATTTATAAGAACCTTGAAATAGATTTATAAGGTTTTAAATCACGGTATTTACATACCAAGTGTAAAGAAAAATAAATTTGATTTCCAGTGACATTTTAAAATGTACCAATGCATTAAAGATTTGCAGGAGATTAAAATTAGGGCTTTTTCTGTATGATTCGTGTGATTTTAGTTTTACACGTAGCACTGTGCCAATGTCGTTCTTGAGCATTCTGATCAGTCTTCTGCCTCCAAAAGAGCAGAGCAGGTTAAGTGTTACTTCAAATAATTACACTGCTACTGCATCGAAGCTGGAGCAAGCTTTAACACTGTAGTTATTATTTACAATGAATCACTTCAACTTCATGTAAAACACAAGCATGACTGTCCGGCTTTAATAAGAAACACCACACTGGAATCCCCTGCCCTCCCAAATCAAAAGATAATTTACATTTAATAATCAACACTTTTGATAAAAAATGTCTGGCCCACATTCGCTCAAAGAACTCAGAAAACGCTGTTCCTCATTTAGGCTGCCAATTTTCTTGGTGTAGCTTCAGTTTCTTTAGGCATAGAGAAATAAGTATTTCCTCCAAAGTGATTCTCCAAAATCATGCACTTCTGAGAGTCACTTTTTTTCTGGTGACTCTGAATATGGTCCAACTTGGAGTGGGAGAGAGTACCAGGATGAGCTTATTATATGTGATACCCAGTTTTTCACAAGCCTCCCGTTTTTTTGCTTTTTAAAAAACATGAGTTAAAATACTAACAGCAAGATAAAAATGGAACTGTATCTAAGATTCAAAATGTATCACCCACTTCTCCTGTTATATCAAAATTTGCAGTCAGAATTGTCTTTATTGACTTTATTTTTGTTTTTGTACACAAAGAAAAATCATGTTCATATCCATCATGAACAAAAACTTAAAAAGGCAGAACTAGAAGACATGTGTCCTTCCCCAAAGCAAAGCTGTGCTAAAGGTTCCAAACATTTCAATGTTTAAAATAAATATTCTCATTTCTCCGATGTCTACTTCCATGCCTTCAGTGTCACAGGAAACCAAAGCCTATCGTCAATTACATTCCGCTTAGAGTCCGGGCTCACTGTGTTTGGTAACTTGCCATACCATATCCAGCTTGGTTAGGAGGAGGTATTACAGGGGGAGGAGCTTGTCCTTGGGGAGGCTGAGCACCAAATCCACCCATCCAAGCAGCAGAAGGTGATTGACTTGGGAGAGAAAAGGGAGAGAAAAAAAATTCAGCCAACTCAGATGGAAAAAAAGATCACCTATAATTTATGTCAAAATCTAGAAGAGCCTAATCATAGACAACTAGAAATCAAAAAACCAACCATGTAAAAAAGTAAAGAAAAAATATACAAAGGGGCTTCCAAAAGTACAGAGAAGTGGAATTAAAAGAGAATAGAATTTTCCCACAACCTTTTGAAGCCCCCTCATATGTGTAGAAGATAACTGATAGTAATAGTTATGATCTGCCTTCATTTTTCTGTTAAGACAACCACTTTTTCCTCTTCTGAGGATCTGAAAATGGACTTTAAGGTGATAAATGCATTTTGGTGAGGAAAATAAGACAATCACAAAAGTTTAAGTATTGTATGAGCCCACTAATGTAAAAACTCAAGAACAGGTTTTCACAATAGAAGCAGCATTCTTTGATGGTTACCTGGGATAATAAGGGAAGGGAGGGTAAATTCCTGGCTATAGGGCAGATATGTATTAACTTGGGTGATGGGGAAGGTGGGAGGTCAGCAAAAAATGATGGCGGCGGGAAGACCTTGGGAAGAGTGCAAGAGTTCAAACAGCAGAGGTACACACTGTTATATACACAATCCAAGGTTACTGCTGTTATGTGCCATCAAGTCTGCTACGTCTCATAGCAACCCTACAACCATCCTCACGATCATCATTACACTTGAGCCCACTGCTGCTGCCTCTGTGCCAGTCCATCTCCTTGGGGGTGGGTGGGTGGGTCTTCCTCATTTTTTGCTGACCCTCCACTTTACCAAGCATGATGTCCTCCTCCAGGAACAGGTCCCTACTGAGACTATATCCTACTGAGTATAAGAAACAAAGGAGCAGTCTGGCTTTGTAAGGAGCATTCTGGCTTTACTTCTTCAAACACAGATTTGTTTGTTCTGGCATCCCATGATACTTTCTTCTCCAACACCATAACTCATATGCATCAATTCCTCTACCATTTTCCTTATTCATTGTCCAACATTCACATGCATATGAGGCTACTGAAAATACCATGGCTTTGATCAGCTGCACCTTAGTCCTCAAACTGACATCTTTGCCTAATTATACTGTCCTTTGATTTCTTGACTGCTGCCTTCCATGCGTGTTAATGGTAGACCCAAGCAATACGAAGTCTTTGAGAACTTCAATCTTTTCATCATTATGACATTTCTGTTCCACAGGTGAGGTTTTTTGTTTTCTATACATTGAGGTACAAAACATACTGAAGGCTGTGTAGTTTTTGGTCTTCATCAGGAAAATATTTTTCTTTCTCTTTATTTTCAGCAAAGTTATACCCTCTGTATAGCACAGGTTGCTAATAATGAGTCTTCCTCCAAACCTAATATGCCATGCTCTTCTTCACAGACTCCAGTTTCTTGGTTTGTTTGCTCAGCACACAGATTTAATAAATATGGTGAAAGAATATAATCCAGTAGTGTTCTGGAATATTCATTCTTTGCATTGTTAACCACAGCTTGTCATGCAACAGATATGTGGTAAAACATGCAGGCTGAACGGATGTGTGAGGGAGAGTGGGACTAAGCCCAGGACTAGATTGACGGAGAATACTTCAACATTGCTTTATGCTGCACATATATCCATGAATGTGATGGATGGAGCACAGAAGACAGTTAATGAAAGCTTTGTAGACATAACCAAACACCTTGAGGGAGACAGTCACGGGGCCTAGGAGATCAAGACCATGGTATTGGGGTACACAAAGGTCATATGGCATAACAAAGTCCACAAAGACGATGTTCTACATCTTTCTCTGTGAAGTATGGGTCTTAAAAGTTCATGAGCAGCTATCAGTCCCTCCCAGTATGGAATAAAGAAGAGTAAAGACAACTGAATACACACGGAAACAATTAGTCCAGTGAATTCACTGTTATTATTGTTAAGTGCTGTTGAATCAGTTCCGACCCATAGCGACCCTGTATAGGGTTTTTGAAAGCAACCACTTTGAAATGGATCACATTAGAAGGTCTTAGAGAATTATGTGGAACAAAACTCAAAACCATAAAATTTTAATTTAAAAAAAGATCAGGCAACTTGGTCAGATAGAAACTGGTGGAGCCCCTGGTTCCCCTTCAAGTCTGGAAATGAACGCCCTCATGTGGCTCAATTTTGATCCAAACAACAGATAGGTCCATAAGGGGAATGAAGCACAAACATCTTAAAACCATCAACCATCTGAGATGAAAAGGGCAACATTGACCCAAGGACAAAGTTCAGAAGGGTTAGAAGAGGAAGCGGAATGCAAATAGGAAGCACTGAGAGGAAGTGGGAAAAGTGATGCAGTATTGTGGGGATTACAACCAGTGAGGTGCAACAAAGTGTATATAAATTGTTGAATGGAAACTTGATCTGTTCTGGAAACATTCACCTAACTTAAAATTAAAAATTAAAAACAAAAAAGAAAAAGAAAAAAGTTACTTTGTATCACATAAATCTCTAGACAATTCTTTTACATGCAAAAGCTAATAATGTATTTATTGTTGTTAAGGGTCATCAAGTCAGTCCAGACTCGTAATGGCCCAGTATGGGTTTCTGAGGCTGTAAATCTTTACAGAAACAGAAAGCGTCATCTTTTGCCCTCAGTGTGGCTGGGAGACAAACTGCTGACCTTGTGGTTAGCAGAGCAACTCGTAATCCACTATGCTACCAGCATTCCTCAATATATTAGAAACATAAAGAAAACTCTACCACCTGTTTACAGGGATAATAAAACACCGCTCCACAGTCACATTTCCCAGCATTCACTTGTGTTAGGCCACACAGCTGAGTGTATTCAATTACAATAGCTTCTCCTTTAGAAAGCCCACTCATGTCTTTTGTCAGAACCGTGTTTGCTTCTGTACTGGAAAAAGACAACTTACTCTACTCCGAATCCTTGCTGACTCCATGGCTGTCCATAGACTCCATAAGGTGGCACTTGCCACCCATTTGCCATATACTGTCCATACTGCTGTGGGTTTCCATAAACCTGGCTCCACGGGCCCCACTGGCTGTAGTCAACCTAGGGAAAAAGCAAACGACTGTTTTCGAGAACAAGGAAGAAACACTGCATTTGAAGAAAGAGAAGGAGACAAGGAAGAGAAAGACTAAGTAAGCACCCTTATGTGAATAGGACTCTGTTAGTTATCATTGTCTAAGTTTATTGGGGTGGTGACACCTGTGAAAAGAAAGTATTAAGATTCCGTTAATACCGCAAAAATAATCACTCGTGAAATAATAGCATTAATACAATCAACAGAAAGCAGCGCTATACAGTTTTGTTGTTGGTTTATTTTCAGAGTTTCCAAAGCTTTTATGTAAATATGCAAGATGGAAACTTTAGAATGGTCTATGGAAAATCAATTACCTGTTGGAAGTTTTTAGTCATATCAGGAGACTCTTTACCCCAATAGCATTTAACAACATGTCCTTCAATCGTAGTACCATTCACAGAAACAATGGCATGGGCTGCACTTTCGTGGGTTGAAAACCTGACAGGAAGACAACAAGGTTTTGTCTACGATTTTTAAAGAACTTAACACAGTAAATAACAGAAATTCACTAGCTTATAACTGGCAACTTGGTACTTTTCCTAAAATACATTGGTTAAGTAGCTGAACATTCTAAATGACAACAAAGTACTACATTAGCAAACTGATACCTTGGGGTAAACTAATCTAATGGAAAGGAATGGATAAAACACAAAAGAGTATTAATGATATTACTGGTAGAATTTTACCTGACAAATGAATAGCCCTTCTCTGGAAAAACTCTTATTTCCATAATTTGTCCAAAAGGTGAGAATGTCTGTCTCATAAGCTGATCTGAGAAACAAAAACATAAAATATCTAAAGCCCATGCATATCATGAAATAGGTATTTACAGCGATAATGTCCACAGAGAAGGGAATCAGAAAACTCAACACTGTACCTGTTAACCCGGAAGCAATTCCTCCACAGTAGACTGTACAATTTTTTGGACTTGACTGGTTTACGACATCTTCAAATCTCAACTGCTTAGTGTTGTCTGTGCACAGAAGAAGATGAAGACGTTTATTGTTGCACCTACCTTTTGTTAATTACCAGACACTTTTAAAAACACAGTATTTTAGTATTTTGGTGATAATTTACACAGCCAAGTTACACTCCTGATTATCATATACTTTTAAGTAGATGGCATGTAGATAAAATGCTCAACAGGAAGGAAAAATAAACAAATTTTTTCTTGATGCTATCATGCTTAAATCAAGTGATTTTTATAAATTTATACCAAAGCACAGGTTTTGCTTTTACAGCCAATGACATTTCAGATGAATTGTCTTGCAATGTTAATAAGATATAAATATTGAATATTGGACTTTGTGACGAATTTCTGATTTTAATATACATGAAAGATTCATCTTACTTTCTTGTGTACTTTTTGGTGCAGGTGGTTTACGCGTGGCCCAATTGGTTCTGATTTGACGACCACCCAACCACTGACCTCCCATATGCACAATCGCATTTTCTGCATCCTACAGAAGAAACACGGAAGAGAAAAAGCAATCACATTCAAGGAAAAATGCTGACATGTAAGATGGAATCAAGTGTTGGCACTGCTGGATCCAACAAATCTCATCAATAAATTCACTGAACACCCTAAACAATCCAAACAGAATGCTACATGATTTGAACTGGAGTGATTTGTAAAAGCTGTTTTTATTCATGGTTCAAAGTACTAGAAGTTAAGCATCAAATTTAAAAAAAAAAAAAAAATCGATCACAATTCAAATATGCAAGGGGACCCCCCCAATCCCACTGATGATCTATTGTTTTAAGTTTTTCAAGTATACACATTTGAACAAAAAGGAAGGAAGGCAAAAGCCCAACTTTTTGAATATATAAAATCTATTCTTTTTAAATATATGCTCTTGTTAGGCGCCATCGAGTCGATACCGACTCATAGAGACCTTATGCACAGCAGAACGAAACACTGCCTGATCCTGGGCCAACCTCACTACTGTTGCCATGCCTGAGTCCTGGTGTGGTGCTGTGGGTTAAGGCGCCAGACTGCAAAGCTGTTTGAACTGCAAGGTTGGCAGTTTAAGCTCACCAGCTACTCCTTGGAAACCCTATACAGGGTAGCTATGGGTCAGAATCGACTCGATGGCACTCAACAACAACCTTAAGTTAAGTAGTCCTGATGTGGCGGTTCAAATCCCCCCAGCTGCTCCTCAGAAACCCTAAACAGGGTCACTTTGAGTTGGAACCGACTTGATAGCACTTAACAACAACATATTAGGTTAAATGACATCTACTTCTCAAAATCTATATAAGAACATTAATGACTTATGATTATGACACAAACTCAGAACTCATTTAAGACATAAGACTTTAGTGCTATAATTTAAAATGGTGTACATCAACAAATCCACTGCCACCCAGTCAATTCTGATTAACAGTGACCCTAAGGGACAGGATAGAGGTGTCCATCTTTACAGAAGTAGGCTGTCATATCCTTTTCCTGTGGAGAGGCCAATGGGCTCAAACCTTTGACCCTTCAGTTAGCAGCCAAGTACTTAACCACGGGGCCACCAGGACTCTGATTGTACGATGGCATAAATATGAGTTTACATGATTAAAATGAATGTGAATATTTGTGGAATCTAAGCAGAGATAGGATACGATATGATGCCTGTCCTGTTTTCAATAAAATGCAGTTTAAATTATAGAAGCTGTTCTAAAATTGCAATTTTATTATTTAATGTTATGGTGGTGGTAGAGGTGTGCTGTGAGTCAGTTCTGACTCTTAGCAACCCTGCATAGGGTTTCTGAAGCTATAAATCTTTACGGGAGCAGAAAGCCTCATCTTTCTCCCTTGGAATGGCTGCTAGTTTTGAACAGCTGACCTTGAGGTTAGCAGCCCAATTTGTAACCACTACACTACCAGAGCTCCTTATTTAATGTGATAGATAGTGCAAGTGCGTATTTTGGTATTTGGTACCTTTCTTAAAGAATACATGCAAAAATCAACATGATACACATTTCCTAAAGTCATTAACATCCCAGTTATAAAACTATGGATAGTAATTAAAAGCTAAAACTAAGATTTTTTATTTATATGGCTAAGACTGATATAATTTATCATCCCCTTCAGACTCTCAGATTAGATCTCTCATCCTAGTTTTGAGATTTACTTCTAACCTGTCTTACCTTCAGCAGTGCACATATTGTTATAATCTTCAGTGTTAGTAGCCTATTTTTTTCGAGGGTTTTATTTCTAAGCTTATGGAAAAAACAGAATGACTATGTTCTACCAATACACCCACACCCAAAACAGCATAAAAGTTATGTTTTGTAGTTAATATCCCTAAATATTCAAGTTTCAATATGACATTAATAATTAAATTGAGTTGAAGAACGTACCAGTTTGTTATAAAAAGATACAAAACCATAGCCTTTGGATTTTCCGGTTGCCATGTCTTTAACTACCCGGGCATCCCTGTGAAAAGAAGCACAGCTAAATGAGGGAAGTAAAAGTCACCCTCAAAATAAAAACTAAAAGGAACCACACACACTGTATTGTGAGCATTTTTTAAATAAAATTCCAGTTAGCCCTAATTAACTACAGCCATCCCTGAACTCTCCCTAATGACTCTTTACCTGTTAGAAAAAAGCAGTAGGACAAAAACATGTAATAAACATGCAACCTAATCAAATAGCCTACGCTTTCTAAACTAAACGCTCAAATTTGAAGATTAAAAGGAACAATAGTTTCCTTTTCTAATACTCTATTGGCTAGTGTCCTCTAAGGTTTACTGATTCTATCAATTACTGTAACAATACTAACTACTTTACCATGCAATCTCTAAATAGTTAAATGTCTTCTGCCTAGTGATACAAAATATATGAAATATTAAAAAATTGAAAAAGAGGAAAAAATAGGAATTAAAAAGGCATACATGGCCTGTTAACAGATTTCTTTATTTTTCTTGGTCAATTCTCTACCATCATTTTGGAGTTTGGGCAGCTGTAAATTTTGAAAAATTGACATTTTCAGAAATTTAAGAAAGGAGAATAAAAAACTAACAACAATGCTAAGCACACCAGTACGAAAACAACAAATTTACACAGAAATTTTAGTGAGTAAGTTAAAATGATTGGAAATATAGAACTCCACTGAATATAGAATGTTAAAATGTAAATACTAAAATATGTATATATCAATAATGTATAATAAGAATAAATAGAAATGAGAAAAAAATCTACAACTGAGTTCCAGTGTGCACAGTTCCTTGCAGTTAGCCTTCAAGATCCTGTCCATTCTTATGAGCAATTCTGCAAAATAACCAGAATGCTATTACTTTTAATTGTGACTTGTGGACTTCAAAAAAAAAAAAAAAAAACTGCAGGTCTCAGGTATAAATAAAGATCGAAAAACAGCAACCTGTATTATTTTTTATATTGATTTTTAACACAGTACTACTTACCACATTTAGAGATTAAAAAGCAAAGCAAACATCAAAATAGAAAATTAATTAAATCTTTCTTTAAACTCAATTAAATCTATAGAACAACAAATTGTATAAAGAAATACATTGTTGTTCTTAGTTGAAATATATTCCTGTCAAGTAGTGCTGAGACATTTCATTTAGATTCACAGGAAGTAAACAGAGTAAATAAACTGGTTTCATGCAGAAAGATAAACTGCGACAAACATTTTATAGAACTTTTATTTCAACCACTTGTAATTTTCTCAAATATATCTGATCAATATATACATACAGTAAAACTTGAGCATAAAATTGTTTACAGAGGAAAAAAAAAAAAAAATCAAACCACATATGCTCCCTAACTAGCAAAATCAAAATCCCCTAACAAAAATACCTAATTAATCCCATATTTATGACTCTCAAACATGGCAACATTTTAATACTGTAGGAATACTACTTTTCACTTATAGCTAAAATATCAAAATACAATTAATTATCAATTATCATTATAATTAAACAAGAACATTTCTAATTTATTCACAATACACCCAAGGAATTACCTACTTTCCCCCATTTATAAATTCCTCTTATAACAATTTAATATACAGTATTATAAACCACATTTATTTTTTAATCCATTATTCTTAACCACCAAATTTTGAAAATATTGACAAAATGTTGGACTTTGATAGGTTTACTACCTAAACATCTGCTTCAAAGATAACAAACAGAATCACTTAAATTTCTTAAACACATTATATACAGGATTATATGAAAACAAGACCCCAAAACATTGAAATGACATTAACATATTCAACAACATCTATTAATAAAAAATAATAATAATTAAAAAAAGCCAAAACAAAACAAAACAAACAAACAAACCCCACACTAACTGGAAAGAAAATCTGGTTTCCAATACAAGTTAATCATTACAATTTTGCCTACCACTATCGAATATAGTATTGATTACGATACTTACGATATTTTACCAAAAGGGGCAAATGCTGATTTGATATCTTCTGTTGTAATTTCTGGACTCAAGTCCCCAACAAACACATGGAAGTGATCTGAAATCAAAGCATTTGGTAATCAAATACTTAAAGAAGTTAGCTACTAAACCTTTGGTCAGGCAACAATTAAGGCAGGGGAACACCGTGTTTGGGCCGGGAATACTGCCAGGGTAATTTCAGAGCTCTTCCACAGGAAAATGCAGCAGGGTACTTACTGGAAGTATCTTTTTTCTGGCTACTTGGTGTTGTTGCCCAGTTTACTTTGACCTCCTAAAAACAAAGATGATATTTAATACAATTATTAGGCATGTCACTATGAATCCTAATACGATGTACTAGATCAAACAGAAGGATTTTTTTGTGTGTCAAAGCACTAGGCTGACTATAGCAAAACTGTGACTCAACAGCCAAGTATCTGTTCAAAACTTACTAAGGAAGAATTAAAACTAATTTGACATGCAAAGAGACATATGCTCATTTTCACAGGTATTCATTCTATTATCTTACCTTTCCCAAAATTTTTCTCCCATTCATAGCAGCTAATGCAGCAGCTGCATCTCTGTGTTCATAAAATTCCACAAAGCAATATGGGTCATTGCTTGTATGCTGCAAAACAGAAAATCCAACAGAAGAGTTGACCCTTCTGCTATCGGGTTGCTGAGAAGAAAATCCAGGAAAAAACATTACTGACAGCTAGGAATGTACACAGCGAGATTGCATAAGCTTATGAAAGCCTAACACTTTACAGATACGATTTACAGCGAAACCAGACTTTTCAAACTTCACATTACCGTTGTACTCAAACAGCACCCTAACAGCAGTATAGAATCATGACTATCAGTATGGAATAAAAAGTCCTACTTTTATGATGCTTCAGATAAAAGCAGACCAGTTCACCAACGATTAAAAATAGAGCCGTGAAGAAAATCACCTGTAATGCCTTTGTATTATTTCACAGCTACTTATATGGGCACATAAGTAGCTCGTTGATAAAGACAAAACAAACAGAATTCTGGTGAAGTACATGCTAAATACACAACACAAGTTTACACTGGACCAAATAAAACCTCAAGCTTAAATTTGAGGGATGAGAAGCACACCTTACATTATTCTATTCCAACATTATTTCTTAAAGGCTAAATTTAACTTGTCATAATCCTTCATAAACTGGATCCCATGACTATTAAAATTACAGAAATGAACCAACATTAGAAACTTTATTCCTGATTAGAATTAGGATTAGTACTACAAATGACAAAACTGCTACAAAGACTGGATGGATTATGTATTTTTTTCTTTTCTGAATAAGGAAAGAGTAAGAATAGAAACAGAAAGTGATGATTTATAACCAACTACTGAGATCACTGTCCTAGTCTTCCAAAACACTCTAGTGTACTGGACAGTCTACATGCTTTGAATTGGATCTTTCAGAGAACATAGCAACAGATCACTGATCAAGAAATTCTGAAAATGTTCTGCACAAGATATTCCAGGATGCAGCTAGAGGTTTACATAATAAAAATACCAATTCTTCTTATATTCTACCAACAACATTCTGTTTGCCAATAGGTGACAGACAGATATTGATAAGACAGTGAAAAGTAGCTGCTAGCTACTACTTAATAGCAATGTTATCACTTAAAATGGAAATGTATATTTGTATAATTATAATCTATATTGAATAGCGACACACACTAATTTTTTTAGGTTAAGGTTAACAACATTCATCCTTGTTCAGGGTAAAATGACCTAAATGCACCATTCCAAGAAACTTTTAGAAGAAAAATCCAATAGGGTGTGTAAAACAATAGTGGTGAAGCAACTAGGCGCATTTCCTTGAGGGGAAAAAAAGTGTAATCATTAATATCGACAACAAAACTATTAGACTCTCATACAAATGTCTAGTATCTTAGCCATGTGAATGCAGTTCTCAGAGATAAACAAAGACAGTCTCCAAGTAAAAACTACTCAATTAAATTGCTGTTGGGAAGGAGTTAATATTTACTAGTAAAGTTCACTTAAGTAAGGATTTAAGAGCAAATTGTGGCGCTGTGGGTTAATATGCCAGACTGCAAAGCCATTTGAACTGCAAGGGTCAGTGGTTCAAGCTCACCAGCTGCTCCTCGGAAACTCTACACAGGGTCACTATGGGTCAGGATCCACTCAATGGCACTTCACAACAACAACAAGCAGTGCAAACTGCTAGGGACTCTGGTAACAAACCCAGCTCTAGAAGACAAGCTACTCACGGCACATTGACCGACTAGTGCATCTGAGTAGCAGTGGATCACATTCAGCGTATCCTTTATTCACACATACATTGTATTTTATCGCATTTAAGACCCCACTGAATTTTACGTCACGTCATAACTATCAATCACGTTCCCATTTAAAAAATGTTTGCCTCACAATCAATATACATTAATTATAGTAGATGGAGTCCTGGTGAGGTGCTATAGGATAAGCACTGGACTGCTAACCACAAGGTTGCCAGTTCAAATCCACCAGCTGCTCCAGAAAACCCTGTGCAGGATCACTATGAGTTGGAACCAACTTGAAGGCACTTAATACCAACTATTGGGGAAAGCTAGGCTCTAAGGTAAAGGCTATCTGAAATGAAAAAAAAAAAAAAAAAAATCACAAAACCAAGAGCAAAGGGACTGCTCATATACTGAATCAGTAAAACTTTTGAAAGAAAAGAAATGCCCACATCTTCTGTACTGTAGTAGTGCTCACCACCTTTGCGAGCTTCCCGTTTTACAGTTATCAGGGGCTTACCTTAGTTAATGCTGCCACTAATTTCTGCTGAATGACATAAAAGTCAAGATAGAGAAATAAAGAGTTCATAACTATTTAAAAACTTACAAGTGACTCCACTCTCCCCACCAAGTCTACTCCAGTTGGAAGCCACCTGTACTCTACCACCTCCTGGATCCCTGTGCTCACCTGTCTTCCAAGCAACATTCAAAGGAGGTGACCATTAATCTCTGCTTTTAAATGCCTCCATGCTGCCCTTGGTGTCCTGTTACCTCACTGCAGGATTCCTCAGAAGCAGGGTCTTCTTCCCCCGGACTCCTACTGTTGAGGTGGTCGGTCTCAGGCCTAGGCCTCTATCAGCACGTCCGCAGGTGAACTCATCTTAGCCCCCTGGCTTCACAGTCCACCGCAAGCTGCCATGTATCTGCAGCAGTGCACTGTCCAGAGCTCCAAACTAGTATATCTAAATGCCCATAGAAAATGTCCACTTAGGTGTCTAATGCAGGTCTTACACTGAACAATGACTGATTCCCACCATTCCTCTCCTACCCTGTACCTCTCTCAGCTGCCCACATGGTACAGAAACAAAAAATCTTGGGGCTTTCTTGCATGCTTTGCCTTACTTCCCAGTTAATCCATTCCTAGTCTACTTCAAAATATACCCCAAATTTATCTACCTCAATTTATTTAGCCCTGGTGTGGCACTGTAGGATAAGAATTCGACTGCAAGGTCAGCAGTTCAAACCCACCAGCCACTCTTCAAAAAACCTGTACAGGGTTGCTATGAGTTGGAATTGACTTGCCAGCGCTTGCTACCACTCTAGAGAATAAGCACTCATCATTTCTTACCTAGACAGCGAATTAAACCAAGCTGGCTATCCTCCTTGCATTCTTGCCTTCTACAACTCACTTTCCATACAAATTATTCTCCTGCTAAAAACCCTGCAGTAGTTTGCTACTGCAACCAGAATAAAATCCAGATCTCTGCCATGGCCCATAGTACCCTGTCCTGCGATTCTGCAGTCTGCCTACTCGATGGCCTCACTGCCCACCACTCCCATACCTTCCCATACCTCAACTCACAAGTTTCTAGTCCTTCTGGTCTTTTGGTGCTAGGAACACACGGGAGTTCACTCCAACTTGAGGCCTTTGAATTTGATGTTCCCTTTGCCTCAAACTCTTAGCATAAGTAGGTCCACCTTGTTAATTTCAGTTCAGTTCAAAAAGGTGACATCTTCCTTTACTACTGACGCTGTAACAGCATCACCTTTTCAATCATCAATGGCATTTTTAAAATATCTTCAGAGTGTCCATCCCTTATCTGAAACTGTCATGTATACTGACAAGCACTGAACTGCTAACTGCAGGGTTGGTGGTTCAAGCCATATACAAGCTAGCTGAGTCGGAACCAACCTGACGGCACTTAACAACTTACTAATAAGAGACCTCATGATGACCTCATTTGTCTGGTTCTGTACTACTTCCCCAGAGCCTTAACAATACCCAGCACAGTGTAAAATTCTGATTCATAAAAGAATGAATGTATAAGGAATCAAAGATAAGAAGGAAACAGAAGACTGTCATTTAGTTAGGGAAGATGATCGAAACTCCAATCTAAGGACCACCATCTCTGGAAAACTTAGGAGGGCTTCTGGCCCCTGCCAAACACTCCTATCTCACCTCTGTATGCCATCTCCTCTAAATTCCAATCACGGTACATTTTCTCTTTTCTCTCTCTTTCTCTCACAAGCACTATTCACCTGGATCACTGTGCTTCTCTCTACCTGGAATTCCCGTCTCTCCCAAATTCCTTCCTAACCTATTTTTACTCTTTTCTTTTAGGTTTCAGCCTAGACGCTGCTTCCTACAAGAACCTCCGTCACCCTAAGAGTTTACTGGAGACCCCCCCCCCCCCCGTGCTCTCATTGCTCCTCCATCTCATCTCATGTACGACCCTCAATCAACAATCAACACTGTCTTCTTGACCAGATCCTGAAAGTCTATGGGGCCCATGGTTTACCTCTGTACCCCTCACACTAACTGAGGCCTGACACACAGTAATTACCAAAAAAAAAAAAAAAAAAGTGTGTTAATGAAAAACCAATAACACAAGGAGAAAAAGAACAAGTTGTTGGGGCTACAGTGTGTAGCCAGAAGTATACAAACGGTTTTCTTTTAAAAAGAGGAGAACAAAATTATAAACAATTCAAATGCCTCTAACAACATCTATAGAAAGTTGCCCAGACACCAGTATTGGTTGGTATATGTGCTGTATTATGAACCTACTAACCCACTCTTTCATACAAAATTCCTGAACTTTACATGCAACCTATCTGAATCAGTAATTACTGTGTTGAACTAGTAAGAAATACTATCTAGTCGGTAGTTCAAACCCACTAGTTGTTCCTCGGAAACCTTATACAGGGTGGCTATGAGTTAGAACCGACTCAACAGCACTTAACAACAACAGTAAATGTAAATTCTAACAACTTTTTATAAGCAGTCATTTAACATAACTGTATCATGGAGTCGGATCAGCACTGCATAGCTGACCACATGGTTGGCAGCTCCTTGGAAACACTATACAGGGTCACTATCAGTCAGAACAGTTGACAGCACTTCACAATAACATTATGACAGGGAGCCCAGGTGGTGTGGTGGTGAAAGCATTCGGCGGTCAACCAAAACAGTTAGTGGCTCAAGGCTAGCAGCCACTCACTCTGGGGGGACAGATGTGGCAGCCTTCTTCTGTACAGATTTATGGCCTTGGAAACCCTATGGAGCAAGTCTACACTGGCCTCTAGGGGGTCTGCTGAGTTAGAATCAACTCAACGGCAGTGGGTTTCTTGGCACTTACATCATGAGGATTAGTAGTCAACGACATGAAAAATAAAACACCATTCTAAACATGGCATGTATGCCAGCCCAATCAAAGTAGGAAGTCAGTGAAACCAACATCAATTTCCCACTAGAATAACTTTAGACTTACATTGATTTAAAGAAGTGATGCCAATCAGCTCAGGGATCTCAAAATAGTAAACTTCACGCTTACCAACAGCATGTCTAATGGGGCCTTACCTCTGTTATCATTTTACAGCTTTTACAGGGTCCAATCTGACTAAATAGCTGAAGGATGAGGACTTCTGTCACGTCTCTGGAGAGGTTACCTACGTATCTGCACAAGAAGCAAAGGCAAAAACAATTAGACATTCCTCTCAGCTCTGACTCTACATGCTATCATTTACTGCCTCTGTTTCCCCAATTCAATCTGGCCCTGTGCAAATCAAGTGGCTCAGGACAGCAGTCATTGTTGTTCACCCACTTCAGAAGACATTATAAAACAACAGCTCAGTGTCACCTTGCTTATGTCAAAAATATTTTATTCTGTATCCTACATGAGGGTGCTTCAAAAAGGCCATGGAAAAATGGAATTTAAGGATAATGGTATTTTCCACAAAATTTTTGAAGCCCCTTCACATATCATTTTCTCATCTTATACTAGCTTAAAAATTTTAAACCATTTTCAGAATATTAACCTCAGGTTCTGGATGTAAGACGTAATTTAAAATGATTTATAACACAAATATACCACATAGTAACAAATACAGATTCATTAAAACAATTGACCAAAAAGGATATTATAAGTAAGATAAGTGTATCTTACACCTCAACCAAAGCAGCAACATGAACACAGAAACTTAGAAATGACCAAATGTGATTTAGCTTAACAAGTTTAAAGACTTACAAGTCTTTAAATTTTTCAGTGTATAAAGGGGGACACCTTTTAAAAACCTCAAACTGTTTTCATTACATCGGTTATGAAAAACCTCATAAACCAAACAATATTCGTCAAATTTCAGTTTCTTCTGGAAAGTAAAAAGACCAAGATTTTACTTTCCTAATATACAACATCTGGAAACTGAGCACTTAGACCAACATAAGCCTTCACCCACTGGTTGTCACAGTAAATACGTAACAACTTGTCTATGGAACTGCTTTAGGTCCACTCTGCCATCTTTTGCTTGTAATTACTGCAGAGGATCATTGGTGGGCCGTGCAGTGGCAGGCTTTTCCCAGCAGTGGAAGATTATAGGTTGAGGAGCTGGCCACATATACAACTGCCTGCCTCATATAAAAGTTTGTGGGCCTTTATTTAATAGAATAATTTCTTTTTGTATAAAAGAAACTGAACTATCAGGATTAAGCACATCTAATCTAAAGGTCTTATCACATTTCTAAGAGACTAGAAGAGGAATGAATAAAATGACTTCTCAGATACTGAAGTACCAAAACGAAAATAGAATTACTAGCTTAATATAACTAGATCTAAATTTAAGTAGTTGAAATTTTACATTACTGTTTACACATAGATTTGTTCAATACTTAACAAGGACAGTAACAGCTGTTGCTATTTAATAGTTCGCATTTCATGTCAACCATTCCCAATCAGTAACAGTCTGAAGAATTCCTAGAGACGCATTTAGATACAGCATTCATTTACATTTACCTGATGCCCAAGAGTAAAATAAAATGTTAATATCTAACTTTAGAATGTTGTGAAACTTCATAGAAATACAGTTTTAAGGTTTCCTAAGTTTCAAATTTCTCCAGCAACAATGAGTTGATATAAAAGGTCTAACTCCCTGTGAACCTGTATGTCTAGTAGAACTGCCCCATAGGGTTTCCTAGACTGTCATCTCTACAGGAGCAGATATTCACTAGGCCATATACTCTTGTTATGAAATGTCATCGAGCTGCTTCCGACTCACAGCAACCCTGCATAGGGTTTCTGAGGAGCGGCTGGTGAGTTTGAACCTCCAACCTTGCAGCCCAGCAATTCTCGGTTATCCTACAGCGCCACACCAGGACTCCAACAGAACATCATAATTTACCAGGATAAAAAGAACATAATTAACTATTTTATCTGACCTAAATTTTACCCAAATTTCAGATGGTCTTTTGTTACCCAGAGTTCTGTAGTTGATGCATCACAATTTTTATATATGATGACACTTTAGGAAAAATACTGTACTGTTTTAATATGTCCCAAAAGAAATGCTAACTAAAGTAGTTAAGACCAATATCTGCCCTAGGAAGATAGCAATTTCTTGGTGCTATAGTGAAATAACATCTGTTCTTCTTTTCAAATTATAGATTCTGTATTTCATTTTCTTTCTAATCTGGTTATATAAAGTTAATATACTCAAAATGTTTAAATATACAACTTAAACCTAAGTAAGATATACAATGTTGTTGTTAAGTGCTACTGAGTCGATTCCCACTCATAACAACCCTGTAGAGGGTTTCCAAGGAGCAGCTGGTGAGCCTGAACAGTCAACTTTGCAGTTCAAACCACCTTGCAGTCCAGCACATTAACCCACAGTGCCACACGAGGAAATGACAACTTAAATTCCTGCACTGAGAGGTCACTTAGGAAATCCCTAATAGTTTTGAACAAGGAAAGAAAGAAGAAAAGGCCTACCTTACAAGTCTATTTTGTTTTCTAAGAACAGGAACTGTAGGAACTAAAGCATTCAAAACAAAAAGGAAGCTTTTATTCCTAACATCAGGGTTAAAATTCAATTTGAGACCAGAAACTTGGCAGTTTCACAGCAGGCAAAAGTTCACATTGCCAAACTACTGCTTATGTCCAAGTAGGCAGAGGAAGAGAAGAGTATCCCGCCTTTCAGAAGACTAATCACAGGCTTCTCAACCTGGATTGCTGCTCTCCATCGGAAAAGAGGAGCCTACGAAGGCTGAAATTACCAACACTTTTACACAAAATACTAAGGCTAAATTTAAATATCTGCTTGTATTCTTGATAAATTCCTATTTAACAGATTTTGCAGCAATATCCTTTAGTAGAACACTCTTAAACTATTCAATTTGTCGGTATTTTTGGGAGGAAGCAGAGAGGAGATGTAGAAGGTAAGGTACAAGTGAGCTGATCAACTATGTACAGTACTGACACCCACTGTGAAGACACAGAACCCAAGAAGTAAATTTAACATGGGGTGCCCCAAAAAAGAATCCAAGCCCACTATTGCTGAGCGATTCCAAACTTTCAGTTTGGCAGTAGACTGTTCAACCATCATGCCACCAGAGTTCCTGAAACCCATGGTATGTCGTTCTTAAGTGCCATCGAGTTGATTCCGGCTCATAGCAACCCCAAATAGGGTTTCCCAGGAGTGGCTGGTGAGCTTGGACCGCTGACCTTGCAGTCCAGTGCTGATCCCACAGCAACAGCCCAAGTCCCCAGGCCCCCAAGCCCATGATATAGCTGATGTGGTGCTGTGGGTCAAAGCACCAGATTTGACATCACTTAACATCAACAGCTGCAGCTTGAGGAAAACAAACTAAAATACAGGAGAACACTATTATAATTCAGTGTCTTATGGGATCACGGTGCCCACCTATACAGGGTGCCACCTATACAGGGTGACTATGAGTCAGAACCCACTCGGTGGCACCTAACAACAATAATTATGGATTCAGATACCCCATGGATCCAATCACTGCACTACAAAGCTACACACAGAGTCTGAAAGATGTATCCTAGGAGGCCAGTGTCAGACGGGCCATTCCAACATCTGTATTACACAGTGTGGTCCCACTGGGTCCCCCTCCCCCAAATTACCCAGTACATATCACCCCAAATGTCAAATAAGAATGAAGACTATCCAAAAAGAGTTTCAATGCAACTATATGAGAAACAGAGCTGCAGGCTCAGCATCACGGCAATTCTATACTACTTAAATACCCTCAAATAAATTAGTAATATTGTAGGTGATGAATATTTAAAGATCTACCTAGGCTAAAAACACCATACTGTTTTCTGAAGATAGAACCATATGTCTTAGCTTGTGTGTGTCTGTGGGGGAAAAACCTCAACAGTTAGCACACAGGCATTTAAAAAAAACAGTTAAGATGAGCTTCGTTAAGAAGACATCTTTAAAAAAACATACTAGCCACCTGAAAACCTAATCTATAGATCACAATGCAAAATACAGGAACATGAAGAAAACAAAACCTACCAACCTCAAAATCATGTTTAAATTTTTCCAGTTACTTGTATCTAAAAGATTCCTTTGAGAAGAAACAGGTAAAATGTACTTTAAATTTTCATTAAATTCTGACAAAATTCCCATTTCTAACAGTTTTTAAATCTCAAAAATTTACATTTGAGAGTTAAAAAAAAATAAGTCATAGTAATGTCTGCCTATAATTTTTTTAAGGGGAAGGCTTAATGGTAATTTAATGAAAGACGTATAATCATTGTAAAAGATTTACTGAGTACCTCTGCTGCTCCAGGCAGGGAACTAAGTGCTGCGAGGTTAAGACCTGGGAGGGTGCAGCAGTTCTTGTCTAAGCGTCTTATCATAGAGAAGAGTGCCAGAAGGAAATGGGAAGACAATAGTAAACAGTACTGTTGACATATAGGTACAGTGAAGCTTAAGATGCTATGTAACTCAAACAGATACATGTGACATTTGTAGACAGTTTAAATGTGTTTCAGAGAAAGGGCAGGAGACTAGAGAAGCTATAGGCAGGACTAAGTGACAAAGCGTAAAATGACTAGCCTATTGAAGGTGGTCTGATGGCAATGAAGACAAGGCTCATACAAAGACAGTTATGTGGCTGTTGGACAAGGTTTCCAAGGAGTGGCTGGTAGGTTAATGGCTGAACCTGCGATGCCCAGTCCACCGCTGATCCTACAGTGCCATAAGGTCTCCAAAGAACAGTGCTTAGCGCTATAAAAGCAGAGTTCCTGTTTCTAAGGTACAGACACATAAAAAAGAGAAAAATGCCAAATTTTACCAATTATTCAGTAGCTGTTATGCTGCAATGATGACATCTGATTTATGTACAGTGTAACTTTTCATCTGTTAAACACAGGCCTGCTGGCTCGGAATCGTTTCCCCAGATGTTTCTATCGAAGTACACATCACTAACTAAATACAAAGACTTGGCTTGAACAGATAGATGTTAATGGACCAATTTCAAGTTTGTCCTAATTCTCTCCTTTCCGAGAAGAGCAGGTAGCAATGGAAGACAGCAAAGTTCTACTAAGCAAGCTTTTCATTCGAGCACTCGATGTGCTTAAATTGGCCTCAATTTCTCTAAACAGACTTACTTCAGCGAGACGTTAAGCACAGAAATTAAAAGAATGAGTTTATGCGAAACAAATCAATATTCAACACAGATTTATCGTCCTTAAGGAGCTTTTTTGGGTAGATGCGAAGAGATGAGAAGCTAATCAAACTTCCTGAGTATCCATCTTCATCTACTCCCCCAAAAGTAAACTGGCCCATCAGATGGTAGAGCCAAGTGAACTCTGGTCAGTCCGATCAACAGCAAGCAGGGAAACAAAGCAGCCGCTCGACTTCCAGCGCAGGGAGAAGGGGGGGGCGCGCCTCGAGAGGCAGGAAACCCGAAGGTACCCCATGGAAACTGAATTAGAAAACATTTGGACTGGGAAAAAAAAAAAAAAAAAAGGGAGTGTCACACTATCCCGAAAGGGATGCCAAACGCTGAGTCACCAACTTCGGGAAGAAAGAAAAGAAAAGTCGAAGGGAGAGGTAAGAAGATGAGACTCATTCATTAGACTGCACTGACAGTTCAGAAGCAGGAGCCAGACAGGGAAGGGGCGGGAGGCCAGGGTGCTGGGGGAGGAAGCGCCCCAAAGAGACACACGGAAGGCAGATCGGGACAGCCTTTGGCTCCAAGGCCGAAGGTTCGACGCCCCGATAGGCGAAGAGGCGGCCAGAGCCGAGAGCGCGGGAGTCAACTTCCTTCTCCCGGCAGGAAAGATGCTCGGCGCCGGGGAAAGTAGCGGGCGCCCGGCGGCCGTCTGACAGCGTGGGCGAGGGCACGTGCGAGCCGGGGGGGTGGGGGCGGGAGCC